TTTATGGTTTCATTTCTTAACATGTCAACTGACTAAGGTGGTGGTATTCCCTAACCCTCCTGTCCATATTAGGGCTCCCTGTCCTTCTCCTGCATGGCATTTCTCCCAATTGCAATTAATTAATTAGGATTAAACTAGGTGTTGAATGTGCATGCCCCCCACTAGGCTGTCAGCTCCACCCACAAGGACTCAGGCTGATTAGCCCACCCCAGGGTCCTGGCTCCTATCTCAGAGATGGTAAAGAGTAAGCACTGATAAATGCTTCCTGAATGAGTCATCTCCCTTCCCCAGTCCACCCTCTCCCATCCTCCTCACCATCCCCACAATGCTCCCACATGAAGTGAGTACCCAGAGTAAAGAAGGAAGACAAAATACTTCCTACTGGAAGGGGAAGGAGGACTTCAAGTGGTGGGAGGTCACCTGAGTCCTGGGAGAAAAAGTATGACCTTTATTCAAAGACCAAAACACCCAAATCCATCTTTCCAGGTCCTCTGATCTCTCGCCTTCACCAAACATCTCATCACTCCACTGCTCACAGGGCCTTTTCTGTGGAACCTGCTCGTTGCTGGGAAGCTTCTGCCCAGTTCATCCACTGTGAAGCTAAGCCCTTCTCACCCCCACATTCACCTGCTCCTGGTGCAGCCTCTTAACCTCCTCCAATTCCCGCTGGCTCCCCTCTTCCAGGTTCTTTCGGACAACCTCGGCCCCAGCCAAGGCAGCACGCAGGCCCTCAGCCTCAGCTCGGCCAGCCTTCTCCGCCCGTGCCAGAGCCTCCAGCTCCATGGCCTGGGCCTCCAGCCTCATCTTCTGCTGCAGCGAGGTCTCCCGCAGGACTCGGACCTCCTCCTCAAGCCGCCGCAGCTCTTGCAGCTGCCGAGAGATCAGCTCAGCCTGCTGGCTCAGGGCATGTGACCCCTCTAGCTCCACAGACCTTCAAAGACAGGTTAGCACAGGTGAGACCTGTCTCTGGTGCTGGGAGGGTGGCGGAGGGCACAAAGGGACACAGGAGAAGGAGAGGAGGATCCCTCTGCTATTGTGTGTGGAGATGGTGAGGATAAAGTTGGGCCATGGGGGTCTCTGCATCTGTATCACCGCTGTCATGTATCATGGCCCTACTAAGCATATTAGGTCCACTATCTGGGCTCACAGGACTTAACGGCTAGCTGAGATCATGGAACACGATCTCTGCTGAGCTACATACAGGCAGATGCATTAAACATCAAATGTGCACATCATTAGGCCACACATTCTAAAATGGAGGGGTTGGAAGACACCCAGAGACTTCTGAATTCTGATTTAAGGGCAAGGAAAAGTTGGGAGGCAGTTTCAGAGAAAGAGAGGTCATGGCTTCCAGTATCAATACAGCGAGACCAGATGCTAGTTAAAAGCATTTATTGAGTGTTAGATATCCTGTATGAGGAGTTGACAGCACATCAATAAATTATAGTCTACTGGTGTCTTGTAAAGTTTAAACCAGCTTATGATAACATGGCTCTTGACATAACTCCCTCACTGAGGCCCAGAACCACTCCTTTTTTCTTTTAAAATGGTGGGGATCTACAGCCTAGAGGTATTAGTTGACTGGCCCAAGGACCCTAGTTGGTAGCCAAACTAGCATCAGAGTCTTTGTCTCCTGACACCCACTCCAGGGCTCCCCTTTTTGTCATCATGCTCCTTCCTCTTGGACAGGGTTCAAGGTAGACCCATGTGCAATCCCACTCCAGAGCAAAACGGCAGAATGACATTCCAGTACATTTGGGAAAAGACACACAATGAAACATCAAGAATAAGAATCAGAACTTTTACAGACAAAACATCAACAAATAGCATGGCCAGCTCTAATGGCAAGCACTCCATCAGAATGAATCCAACACTACCACAGTACAGTCTATACTCCTAGTTTGCACTTCATTATCTTGCCTTCTATTATGCTTATTACTGTCAGCTGTTGGTCAATCTACCTCTTCCCTTAGGATTTTTAATTCACTGATATCAGGATCTCATTCATTTTGGTTACCCCCATTCCTAGCATCTAGCCCACTGCCTTATTACTTATACGTTATAATAAGTTCCAGTAACTGCTTATGCAAAAATGCACAAATTAGGGAACTAAAGGCTGAAACGGGGTAAGGAATCTATTTCAGTGAAGAAGGGTCACTGGTAAGCAAGCCTGAGAAAAGAGCAACAATGAATCCCTACCTGCCTCTCCGCCCTGGCTCCTGCCCATTGCCAGAAACATCCTGTTCCCACATGACCACTTGAGGTCTCTGGCTGTCTGGCCGCCTCTCTGAGACATCTTGATGGGTTGAGGGTTGGACCAGGGGAATGTCTGAAACCCAGGTGGGAGCCATTCTTGGTACAGTTGGAAGGGGACGAGCTTGGAAGTGGGATGGGGGAATCAGCCCAGTGGAACCTGAGGAATCACAAGGACAAAGATGGTCAGTTTCCTAAGGAGAGACAATCACCAGTCCCCTCGCGTGGCCCCACTGACCTGGTGGTCGAAACATCTCCACATTATTTGAAGTCTCTAGATTCTGTGTCCAGCCATCTGTGTTTCCCTGGACAATAGGAGAAACAAGGACACCCCAGTTCAATTTTCAGGCCACCTTCCAAAGAGAAAGCCCCTACAATAATAAAGTCAAAATCCTTTAGTAACTTCCCAAGAGAAGCAGGAAATACCCAAAGATCTCTTGCTTGACCCAACCTGGTTCCTGATAGAAGAACTATGGCAATAGCCATGAGATGGAGGGAATTCACTGAGACAGGCTGAGAGGGAGCTCTTGGGCTTTACTCATACTTTTAGAATTCCGGGCAGAGCCTTTACCCTCCTCCTTAAGTTTCTATGGTCTCTGCGGTTCCTTGTCGGAGGTGAGAAAGGAGGTGTGCGGTGCAGGGGCTGTGCACCCAGTCTCCAGAGTTCTCTCCATGGCTCAGCAAGGCCTTCCGGAAGCCCATCCAGACACCACCAAGCCATGACTCCTGGCTCCTTCCCTATTAAAGCACTGGCCCAAGGCCTGGCCCCAGATGAATGTGGCCACATAAAGGGCAGGACACCTCCACAGGTCCCCTGGGAATCCAGGCAGCCTAGACCCGTTGGCAGAAAAGCCAGCTTCCTGACATCTCATCCAAACCCTTCCAGCAACTTTCCTCAGTTTCTCTCTACTATGCCCTCAGCTGCCATTCCTGTCGCCTCCCCTCCTCTCTCCAGAGTCCTAGAGCACAAGAGAGGTCTCTTCAAGGTCTCCCTACCCTCCCACCAGAATTCACCTATTTCCCCCGCCTATCTGGGATTCCTATCAACCCTCCCCCACAAGCTCATCTGCTTTTTTCCTGAAGGAATTATTCTGGTCCCTCACTCCCCCCTCATCTCCCAACTGCCTGCTCGAGCTTCCCTGCACTCTAGCAGGCTCTCACTTCTCTTTCCACCTCACCTCCTCTCCCCCAGAAACCCGAGTCTTCACCCTGCTGGACCCTGAGCTCTAAGGCTGTTCGGACCACCTCATCTGTTCCTTTACCTGGTCCCTGTACCCCTCTCCCCCTATGGACCCCGGAACCCACCCCCGTGCCCCCTCTCGGCCCCTTCCCGCCCCCAACCGACTCTTCCCGAACGCCCCTTACCCAGCGCGAGAACGCCCTCTGCCCTCTAGCCACAACCCCTACACCTCGCTCCCAGGCTTGGCCTCCGCCCCTGACTGCGCCTGCGCAAAGCGGGCAGCTTGGCGGGCCGCTCTAAAATCCTGTTTCATCCGGGGAGGAGGGAAAAGAGGTGCACGCAGGCGCAGTAGTGTCTAAAGCCGGGCCCAATTGCGGCGTTGAGGGACGTCTCCGCGCCCTGGCGGCTCCTCCCAACTCCGGGAACCCGGGAAAACTTGTGAACTAATCAGAAAAAGCGGAAGGCGGGAGGTCGGAGACACTCCCAGAGCGCCGCCCAATAGAGCGGAGGGGAATAAATGAGCTGGCCAATCAGGAGTGGCACGGAGGGCGGGCTGGCTCTGCGCGGAGTTCGGACCCGGGAATTCCGAAGGCGGGGCGGGCGCTGCCCGCGCGCGGAGACCGCGCCCCTCTCGATCCCAGCTTCCTCGCTGTCAAACAGCCGCGGTAGCGCCAGCTCGGGCCGGAGGGGTCCGGCGGCCACCGCACACTCTAGCACTGCCTGGAGAGGAGACTACTTGGAGACTGCACCGCGGTAGATCGGAAACGGGGCTCGCAGGGAGGGGAAAGGCTGGGTTTGCCTTGCATGATCTTGGGGAGCTCTTTCCCCCGTTTTTGTCCCACCCGGAGAAGCTGGAAAGTCAGGGTTTAGATCTGCTTTGTCGGAGAACGTAGGGACCATTTTCACTGCCTTTTGGGGGATGACAGTGGATTCCCTTCCCACTGGGGTTAAAGATAACTAGTTATGAGTGAGGGATTGGCCCAAAGGGCGAGGCGTGAGCGAGCAGGAGGGTTACTCTATTCGGATAAGCGAGTCTGACAGGAAGCTTTTCTCCAAATTACACTGAGGTGACAAGTTAGTATTGTACAGAAGCAGGAATCCCTCTACACACATCTAGTTTGCATTTCCCTGGAAGCTGCCTAATATATTGTTGCCTTGCACAGATTGAGTCTCCCTGAATACTTTGTGGCCTGAGGATCCGGTTCAACTCAAGTGCCATAGGACGTGTTCGATTTTGCACTTCACTGGGACCTTCCCTGATTTTTTCAGTTGCAAAGCTGCTTGACAGTTTTGTTTGCAGCGCATGCCTAGGCTCCTTGCACTCTGAATTTGCACTACTCAGGCCTGGGTTCTCATCTGAGCTTTGCCACTGAACCCTGGTGAAAACTCAGGCCTGTGCTCAAAGTTGAAATTGCACAAAGCACAGCTCAAATTTGCATCAGACAGAAAGTGAACTCAGGCCAGCGTGCATGGCTCAGGTGTGGGAAAGGTGATGGACTCCTGAAGTGGAAGAGGTGGTGCAGAGGGGGCACCACCCATGCTGCCCTGCTTCCAGCTGCTGCGCATAGGGGGAGGCAGGGGTGGTGACCTCTACACCTTCCACCCCCCTAGCGGGGCTGGCTGCACCTACCGCTTGGGCCGTAGGGCCGACCTATGTGATGTGGCTCTGCAGCCCCAGCGGGAGCCTGGCTTCATCTCTGGAGTCCATGCGGAGCTGCACGCTGAGCGCCGGGGTGATGACTGGAGGGTCAGCCTGGAGGACCATAGCAGCCAAGGTGAGCAGTGAGCAAGGAGGCCTTGCGCCTGGGCAGTTGCAGTTCTGGGCTGGAATGAATTAAGGGGCTCCACAGGGACCCTGCCTGCCTCCCAAACTCCCTGTCAGGTTGGATGGACAGTTGTAGTCCAGACCTGCATCTTCCCACTAAAGGTGTGCAGTGTCAGAAGCTCTCTGTGGGGCTGACCCCTGATGGTCCCTGCCTAGCTGGAACCACCTAAACAGGGGCTGGGAGGTCGATCCAGGGCCTGGGCCATCATCAGGGAAGCATCACAGTGGGGATATTCTGGAGCCATTGGGGGCCAAGCTCAGATGACTCAGTTTCCAAATTTGCTGATGCACCTTGTTCTTGTTTGAAGGCAATTATGATATGTTGGATTATGGGTGGTGTTTTTTTTTTATTTGAGAAAGAGAGTGAGTGAGAGAGAGAAGGAGCAGGGGGAGGAGAAGGGAGAGGGAGAAGCAGACTCCCCGCTGAGCAGGAAGCCTGATGTGGGCTGGATCCCAGAACTCTGGGATCATGACCTAAGCCCAAGGCAGACGCTTAACTGACTGAGCCACCGAGGTGCCCCTTGGATTATGTTTTAATGATCAGGGCATATGTCTTACTCCCTGACTTGCAGGCATTTGCAGTCAACCTCAGAAGGCCTGGGTTTGCCACTGTCCCCAGGTGAAACCTCAGGCCTGTCCCTTCACCTCTCTGGGTCTCAGTTTCCTCATAGGTAAAATATAAGGCTTTGTAAAGTTTGTTTTGGGAACGTTGTGGAGATTAGATAATTATAGTAGCCAACATTCGTTTAGTGCTTACTGAATGAGCCAGGTACTGTTTTAAGTGCATTGAAGGTAGCTGAGCACTAATATCATTCCCATTTTATAGACTAGGCAAATGAGGCACAAGGTTAACTTGTCCAGGTAACATAGCTGGTAAGCCAAGATCTCAACCCAGATAGTCTAAGGTATGCCAATAACTGTTTCTGCACTGGAGCTGAGTGTGTCTGAGAATGGGACCTCAGCAGTGAGGGAAGGAGTCCATTCCTCCGTGTGCCCTGTGGGAGGGCATAAAAAATAAACTTGTTCCCAAATCACAAGGAGCTTAATATCTGATATCACCTGCTCAGGGACTTCAGAGTGAGAATTTGATGACAGGTGTCATGTTCTCATGTTCCCTAGAAAATCAGAGGAGGCCAGATTTCTTCACTCCTGACTGGTCATTTCTGTTTTTGTCATTCTCTGTATCTGTCTGGTGCCCTGCCATCAACAGGGACTCTGGTCAATAATGTCCGACTCCCAAGGGGTCACAGGCTGGAGTTGAGTGATGGGGACCTTGTGACTTTTGGCCCTGAAGGGCCCCCAGGAACCAGCCCTTCGGAGTTCTACTTCATGTTTCAGCAAGTCCGAGTCAAACCTCAAGATTTTGCGGCCATTACCATCCCGAGGTCTAGTGGTGAAGAGGGAACCAGGGCTGGCTTCCGGCCTATGCTCCCCCCGCAGGGGGCCCCACAGCGCCCCCTCAGCACCCTTTCCCCTGCCCCGAAAGCCACATTGATCCTCAATTCCATCGGTAGTCTCAGCAAGCTCAGACCTCTGCCCCTCACCTTCTCCAGGAGTGGGGGTGAGCCACAGAGCCTGCCTGTTCCCACTCCTCCTAGGGAGGTGGGGACCACCCCTTCTGCCCCACCCCCAAGAAATCGGAGGAAATCGGCTCACCGAGTGTTGGCAGAGCTGGATGATGAGGGCGAGACTCCTGAGGGCCCCCCACCAGTCTTTATGGAGCCCAGGAAGAAACTCCGTGTAGAGACAACCCCACGGACACCTGGTGGGTAAGTGGAGAGATCTTTCTCAATTTTGAACTCCTTTTTGATTCCTTTTTAGAGCCCCAGGCTGGGAGGTGGCCCTCTGCTCTGGGGATAGGAATGGGAATGGGACTGGGAAGTGGACAGAGCTGGAACAGATGTTGGATTGGCAAAACCTGGGTTAGTTCTACTTTTGTGTTTCACCACTAGTCTAGTGAGTCTATCGAGGTTCACTCTAAGATTATCCAGGGCAAAGTTCTAGGCTTCTTCAGGTTTCCAGTGACCTGGTTTTTGTGTCACTTTCTTCAGAAATCGACGTGGACGTCCTCGGAAGCACCCAGTGAGCACTCCCAGGGCTCCCCCTGCAGTTGGGAGTGGGGAGCCCTGTGCAGCCCCTTGTTGCTACCTACCCGAAGAAGAAACAGTTGCCTGGGTTCAGTGTGATGGTTGTGACGTCTGGTTCCATGTGGCCTGTGTTGGCTATAGTATCCAGGATGCCAGGGAGGCTGACTTCCAGTGCCCAGGGTGTCGTGTAGGCATCCAGACCTAAGGCCCACCACCAGGGCACCAGAAGACAGAGCTGGCATCTCCAGGCCACAGGTGGACACGGTGGGGCACCAATGGACCTCCTAAGAAATGCCCCCTTCTTCCCTTGCCTCCCCGGGGGGGGAATGACTACAGGGGAAGTGTCCACTGCTATGGATATGGACTCAAGGCCTGAAGCAGGCGCTCATGGCCAAGGTGACAGAAGAGATGGTTTCCTGCCAAAGATACTGCTGCCTCTGGGAAGTTGCCAGCAAGCTGGAAATTCCATTACAAGCTGTAGTTCCTTGTCATAGGCACTAGAATGTCTGTGGTCAGAGCACCCATCAACTGCAGAGGCCGTGCCTGGGCGGATAGAAGCCTCAGTCTAGGAACAAACAAGTGCTTAATGATCTTGGATGGCATCACTAAGGCATTCTGGGAAAACCTAAGGCACGGCCTCAAAACTTTTACATTGTGGCTAAACCACTGCCACTGGCCGTGATCATGACCTGGCTTTTTAGAGCTTTGCTTCTATTTCCAAATAAAGAACAAGCAGCTTCATTCACTCCTAGATATTTATTCTTTTTCCAGGCCTGGTACTCCTTGCTTTCCTGTTCTTGAGAATGGTTATGGTCTGGAAAGCTTAATTGACTCTTAGGGGAAGAGACGAGCAAAGCACAGAGGAGTATGAACCTGCTCACTTGATACAGAATGGGCTGGAGGTGGGAGACTGGAGAAAAAGTAATTAAGGTTCCTAGTTTAAAGGAAAAACAGATCCACGGCCATTAAAATAAAGTAGATGGAGTTTGGTTAAGTTCATGAGGATGGCAGAACCTTTGGAAAAGGTACTACCAGGGGAAAAGAGAAAACCTGGTACACCAGCTAGAGCAGATGCTCACCTGGTCTAGTGTGGACCAGCCTTGTACAGTACACGGATTCTCTTCTGTGAGCCTTACACCAAGCCGACAGTGTCAAAACGGTGTTTCTGTAGCTCTTATTAGGAAAGCCTTATCCTGACCTATTGCAATCTTTAGGTCCATTGCCTTCTATCCCTACTTGACTTACCGACCCAAGTGCCCTCCCCATCAAGGACAAGGGCCCCGATTAAGTAATAGCAGAACCAGGACAAAAAACATGGGTGTTTGTTGAGTCACTCATGGGCAAGGTAGGCCAAACCCTTAAGTGGAAACCAAATGGACTTTGGTATCAACAAAGCACAAGATGGAGTTTCTAAGTTGGGACAATATGCAGAAGCAAAGCATCTAAAGATGATTCCTTAGTATAAAGCCATTAAGGACACTTCCAGAGTTGAGTGGGGAAAGCAAAAAGTCCGCTCCTAATAGGGAATGGACTATAAAAATCAGGCATTCCAGGGGCGCCTGGGTGGCTCACTCAGTTGAGTGACTCTTGATTTCAGCTCAGGTTGTGATCTCAGGGTCCTGGGAGGGAGCCATGCCTGGAGTCTGCTGCTCTTTCTCTGCCCACCCCACCCCCCCGCTCATATTCTCTCTCTTAAATAACATCTTTAAAAAATAAAATAAAAATAAGGCATTCCACTTAAATTTCCCCAGGATTCTAAGTCCTAGGCTCCGAGGAACTAGCTCACACCTATAGGGGTCTTCTACAAATCAGTGGGTTCCAATACCGGCTCTCCCTCTGACATCATATGACTGAGCAGTTTAAATGGCACCTTGGTTTCAGGGTCACTGGGTTCTAAGAGCTATTAATATCTAACTATTGGGTATCCCCATCCCCTCTTCAGTAACCAAAGGAGGACAAACCAAAGACAAAAGTTATCTACCTACTGTGTCCCAGGCTTCTTTATTTAAGAAAGTGATGTGGGGATTAAAAACAAGAGCATCCTTGAACTTCACCTTCCCTCCAACCAGTCCCCCCAAACTTCCTGCCCCCACACCCTTTGTGTTCCCAAATCCTTTCTTAGTGAATGAAGAACTTAATCCCAAAGCCCTGGTACAAACCCCAGGTTCTCTTTCCCTTGCTCTCCCCCTTCCTCGGGCCCCCACTCCTGGGAAGGGCCGGCATCTCAGTTTGAATGCATGGGAGAGCCCAGAGTGGTGACAGACACAGAGGGAAAGCCTTCACCCTCAGGGAAAGGGACTGAGGAGTACAGCGTGGTGAAGTGAGGGCCCCCATAGCCTGGGGTACCAAAATGGGGCCCTGGTGCCAGAGGAAAGGACACTGGTGCCCCTGAGAAAGGGGCCCCAGCAGCCTCAAAATCCTCTCGTTGTGAATAGTCACTGCTTGATCGTTTGCCCTTCTGCCGACGATTGCAGAACCACACTCGGACCACCTGGGATGGAAGACACAACGTAGAGTGACACTCGATCCTAAGCTCCGGGAAGCGGGGCTGGCTTTGCTTAGTCATTTGGCCCAAAGCCGACAGATCTAGAGCGGTTGGAGGGCAAGAGGCAGAGCCAGCGAAAGGGCGGCGGTGACCGGGAAGGAGGGGGGCACACAGGGACGGGGCACTCACGTCCTTCTCAAGGCCGAGCTGCTGGGCAATGTGGCTGATCTGCTGCAGGGTGGGCTTCGGGCACTGCAGGAACATGTTCTCCAGGTTGCCCCTCACGCGGTTCTCGATACTCGTTCGCTTTCTCTTTCGGGCCTGCACGAGGGTCTCTGCTTTGCATATCTGGCAAGGCAAGAAGGGAGGGAGTGGCAAGGGAGGAAAATGGAATGGCAGGCTTTGAACGTGCTGAGCACCACGAGGGTAGTGACTCAAGAGCAAATTGCTAAGGGGGCACTGCTGGAGGGGTCGCCAGCACCAGATGGTGTGAGAAGGAATCCTGGAAGGGTGGGTCTAGACAGGCGGTTCTGGAGAATCCTGAGGAATTCTACTCCATCCCATTGAGGTTAAGATTACGGCCCCCATGAAGGAGAGCAGCAAACCAGGGAAGGAAGCATCGACAACTGGGCTAAGACTCGGCAGATCCCTGAGCCTCCCTCCCCACCCTCACCTCCTGTAGATTTTCGTTGTTGTCAGCTTCCTCCACCCACTTTTGCAGCAGGGGCCGCAGCTTACACATGTTCTTGAAACTGAGCTGCAGAGCCTCAAAACGGCAGATGGTCGTTTGGCTGAACACCTTCCCTGCGGAGGCCAGGTGCAAGAGAAGCAAGGTGAGGCAGAAGGCAATACCTTCATGACCCCAAGACCCAGGGCCTCCTCATTGTTTCCTGCCTTTCCAAGATCCCACACCGGGATCCCACTTCCTCCCAGAGGGAACTCAAGGTCCAAGTATGTTTTCCCCCTCCCTCTCTACCCTCTTTCATATGGGGGAGGAGGGTGAAGCCTGCCCCTGAAACACCCTTTCCTTGCTCCCCTGGTGGGAAGAAAAGCCCCAAGTCCAGGCATGTTCTTCCAGGGGAGATGTGGTCCCTGTGTTCAGTGGGGCAGGACGTGGTGAGGGAGACCCACCAAAGAGAACCCCCAGGGTGAGCCCCACATCGGCCTGAGTATATCCCAGGGTGATCCTCTTCTGCTTAAGGAGCTTGGCAAATTGTTCCAGGTCTTTCTGCAGAGCTTTGATGTCTTGGGACTGCAGTCAAAAAGGCAGAGGACATGTAAGAACACAAACGCATCAGCTGTCAACCCCCCTTCCCATCTGGGCCCCAAGGAATGGTCTGTGGGAGTATCTGCACCCAGACTGCCCACCAAACATGGAGTAATAACCTATCTACCAAAGTCATTCACCCCAGAAAACACATCCAGCAGATGCAGAGCACCATGCATGCACAGACAGAAAGGCAGGCCCTGCCTCCACGAGAATGAACACCTGTCAGCTTATGAAGGGAGCTGCTGCCTCTTCGCTCATTAATATAAAAGATTTCTGACTCAAATATTACCCCAATTTGAGGCAGTTTTGAGACTAGAAAAGTAAACGGCACCATGTCTCTAATTCTCATTTCCATATACTCTCCCCCAGTTTGCTTCCAGGGGATGACATGGCATGTATACGCAAACACACTACAAAATACATGTCCAAAAAGTGAAGGGTATAGTTGGTGCTCATTTTTAAAACTGGGTTATTCCTTATTTTTACTGTATCTTTTTGCAACATATAGGCATTCTCCTTGATTAATTTAACAGATGTATTGCCCTTTCTATAAGCCAGCGGCTATGCAAACTGGACAGAAAGCCCTGGCTTCAGGGGGCTTCCATTCTAACAGGGAGAGACAATTATCCAGTACATTACTATGTTAGAAGCACTGTGGACAAAAGCGAAGCAGGGTGGAGGACTACAGAGTACAGCAGTGTAGGAGATGATGGGGATGGGGAGAGTTTTAAGTAAGATAGAGAAAGTGATGCTTGAGCAAAGGGAAAGAGCCAAGTGGAAAGGCCCCACGGTGGGTGGAGCAGGGTGAAAGACTGAGGAGGCAAGGGATGAAGTGAGGAGCTCACTAAGTCAGGGGGCGCAGGGCAGATTTTGTGGATGCTGCAGTGCATGAGACGGGAAGCTGCTGGATGGATGTGTGGAGTAAAATGATCCGATTTTAAAATGTTCACTCCAGGGGCGCCTGGGTGGCCCAGTCGTTAAGTGTCTGCCTTTGGCTCAGGTCATGATCCCAGGGTCCTGGGATCGAGCCCCGCAACGGGCTCCCGGCTCAGCAGGAAGCCTGCTTCTCCCTCTCCCACTCCCCCTGCTTGTGTTCCCTCTCTCACTGTGTCTCTGTCAAATAAATAAAATCTTTAAAAAAAAAAATGTTCACTCCAGTTGACGTGTTTACAACAGACTAAGGAGGCAACTGCAGTGCGCCCACCCCACCCCCAACAGACGGGGCGGCTGGGACTAGGGCGGTAGTGATTGCTTCAGGGTGTATTTCCAAGACCAAGATAGCTGGGTTTCCAAAAGATGGGATGTAGAATGTGAAAGCAATGAGGATGACTGGCTGGGGCCTTGAGGGACTGGGTGATGGTCGGGGTGGAGCAGTTCATGAGCCATCCCAGCAGGAGACAGAAAATGTGTTAGTCCTGTCTACAAGGGTAGATGAGAGGAAGGGAGGAAGGAAAGGTAGACAGAACAGAGGGTGATGGACTTAGCCCTGGGGCACTCCCATGAGGGCGGGTGGCCAAAGGGACCAGAAGAGCAGCTAAACCTATGTGCAGTCCTGGAAGCTTTGAGGGAAGGATTCCAAGGATGGTCGATCACACCAAATTCAATAGGCCAACTTCAGCTCAGTCAAGGCTTCAGAGCGCTAAATGTCCTCCGCTCCCCATCATGGCTTGTCCAAATCCTACTTACGGGATTTGAAATAAGGTAACACCGGCTCAGATCCTAACTTCATCATTTGGTAGTTAGGACCCGTGAAATAGGCTGGTAATACCTCCCTGGGAGATTTTGTGCCGGTTAATGAGATAATGATGTAGGCACTGAGCACACAGCCAGGCACTTAGGAAATGGACCACAATTGGCAGCCATTATCATTCAAGGCTCAGTCGCCTCCTACAAAGTCTAGGGCCACTGGGTCGGCTGAAGCGCTCGCACCTCCTTCTGTGAGGTCTAAGGGCTTAGTACTTGATCTCTAATTGCTTACACTTGTCTTTGGAGGACAGGAAGACACATCCTTAAGAGTCCTTTGGCAGGGCTGAACGCATAAGTCTTTCAGTGCCTCAGCAGACCCTATGTTTGGGGAATGGCCTGGAGAGGAGTTCTTCCACCACTTGGTTTTTGTCTTGTCCACAACTTACGGAATTAAGGCTGAAATCGGTTAAGTTCTCTACAAGTGGGGGCCAGGGTGTGCACTTTGCATAATGGTGACTCACTAGCCCCGAGGCAGAGGTCAAGGGAAGACAAGCCCTAAACTTGACGGGAGGTAAACCCAACCCCACATGTCCGCACACACAGCCCAAACAGGAGCTTCTATCAGAAATCAGTCCCACCCTAGACTTTCAGGAACAATAACCCTGGGATAAGCACTGTTTTTACCCTCAGGCCACACTCAACCCTAAGGCCAAGATCCTGAACCTGGTGGTAAGGATCAAATTTTCAAGAAGGGCTAAGGGTGGGAGAAGGGGCTCAAACCCCAAGCTGGGTCTAGTGCTGGGCTGGTAATAAGTGAGTGATTGGACCCTGCTCAGGCCAGGCCTAAAAGTGGAAAGCAGCTACTTGACAAGGGCCAGGCGGGAAGAAGGCCAGTCTGAGGCAGCTTCCGACTCCCCCAGGGCTACCCCAGCCCTCATCTGCCCCTTCTCTCTGAATTCTGGCTTCTGGTTCCCACCTTGCCCGTGCTCTCAAGCCACACAGCCCTCTCTGCCCCGGGCGCCGCCCCAGCCTGCTCCCCTCTTGCGTTCCAGGCCTAGGCAGCTGTAGGCGACCACCTCCCCCTCCCGTGGCCGCCCCCTGCCCAGCCCGGCCACCTCCCCCCGCCAGCCCCGTTTCAGCTCACTCGCCTCCTCTGGGTTTTGCTCCAGCTTCTCCTTGTCCGGCTTCACAGCCGCAGGTGGGGCAGCGCAGGGCTCAGGGGAGGCCCCCTCGGAGTTGCTCTCCACCCCGGCTCCCCGCTCGCCCTCCGGCTGAGAGGTCTCCAGGCCGCCTTGGGGCACTAGCCCCACTCCAACCTGAGGTCCACAGTAGGCCATCCCTCCGCAGAAGTCGTATGGCGGGGGGCACGGGGGAATCCCCCACACCTCCGCGCCCGGCCCAACCCCCGACCCGATTCCCGACCCGCCGGGAGGGCCTGGGAAGCTCAGCCAGGTCCGAGGGTCAACCCAGCCGGGCTCCGGCCCTCCCGGCCCATCGCCTCCACCGCCCGGCGGGGGCGAGAAGGCCAAGTCGGAAGACAGGTGTCCCGCCATGGGGAACGGAGGCGCCCCAAGCCGGGGGCCTGGAAAAATGAGGGCTCTCCAAAGAACTGCTCAACACCTCTCTCCCTCCCCAATCCCACCCACTAGCCTTGACCTCTGGCCCCGCCCCCTGGATGGGTGGAGGAGAGGGCGGTCGGGGTGGGAGAAACTGAGGCGAAGGGTGTTTGCCTGATGGTGGCGGTGGTCCGTCGCAAGGGCGGAAAGCCGGGGACCTCCAACTGGGTGCCTCTCCAGGCCCTGGACTCTTGATGCAGGCCCGCCATTCGGACCTTCACTTCCAACTCCCAATGGGCTGCCCACCCTTCTCTGGGGCTCTGCACACCTTAGAACTGTCTGGGGCCGCTTGGACACCTCCTCCCCCATGTTCAGGAGCCCAGGTGCTTGACCCCTTTCCAAAGACCCTGGGCCCATCTCCTGACTGGGGCCTCACCATCCTCTCAGCCCCTGAAACATTTCTGAGTGTGCATGTTCCCGGACTGCTGTAGCCACCCCTCAATTCCTTAACAGCCACCCTCTGCTGTCCTCCCTCATTCCCAATCCTTTTCCCCACTCCCCCACTGGGACTTTGGCATTCCCATCCCAATTACTGGCAGGTTCAGTTACCCCAAAGCCACAGATGCCCTGTGCCCATCAGCCCAGCCGGCCGACTTCCACCCCATCTCCAAGGGCTGACTGCCAGACAAGGCCTCTCTTCCAGGCCTCAAGTCTTCTGCTCCAGAGCCCCTTACCTACCAGACCCAGGGTCTGACCTCCCCTTCCCCTTCTAAGGGCCAGACTCTGGACTGACTGGGCCCGCGTTCTCTAACCTTTGTCTGGCCGGAGGGATCAGACACATCTACCCCACAGGCCCCCCACTGGGAGACCCCCACCTCAGCTTCCTTGTCCCCCATCAGCGACCCGAACATCTAGCCCCATCGTTGGCTGTTCCTCCCCAGCCCAGGCCTCCAGCCCTAGGCCCTGGGTGGAGAAAGCCAAAGCAGAGAGATGGGCAGAAAAACGTATCTGACTTCAGGTTCAAAGAAGCTGGGAAGGGACTGGGGGAAGGGGGCAGGACAATGGCCTTGGCTGGACAATCCCAGTCCCCAGAGGGGGCAGCTCTAACCCTAAACAAGTGCTCAACCCTTGAATGGGCCTGGATGGCTCCCCTGGGGACTGCTTCCTGCCCCCCAACCCCCAGCCCCAAACCCCCACACAGAATCCCTCTCAGAGCAGCTAAAAGAACTCCAGCAACACCATCCCCCCCCAATCCCCTCAAAGCCTGAGCCTCAGACAGGGCCCCCCACTGGGACCTAGGTATCCCGCTCCCCTTCCTCTGGAAGACTGGGGCGTCCAGCCTTGTCAACCACCCCTCCCCCAGACCCCCAGGCCAAGGGATGCACTTTGTTTAGTGGGGCTGGTGGAAAGATGCAGAAGAGGTGGAGAGCGATTTGGGGAGGGGGTGCAGGAAGCCTGTCCTAAGCTCTCCCCCACCAGGGTCTATTTTTCTAGGCTTCCCTGACTGTCCACACTGTTGGCCTAGTACTTGATTCTGTTTGCAAGAGAATAGCCCTCAGAGATCCTGTCTATGAAGGATGATGTTTGCTCCCAAAACTTATCCTAAATGGAGGCTCTAGGGCAAATTGGGGGCTGGATCAGAGTTCTCCACAGCTGGGAAGGTCAGAATCCTGAGCCTAGGGACACTGACCTCTGCCTACTTGAAGGCAGCTCTTCAGCTCGGCCCTGTCTGCGGTTGTTTGCTGGGGTCAGTGGCTCAGTGTCTGGTTTCTGAGGGGCTGGGTGTCCTGGTGGGGGCCCTCCTGACTGTGGCCTGCTGTCTTTACCTTGGTATCAGTGAGTTTTTTGAGCCTGGTTTTTTTTTTTTCTTCTGAGTCTGTATAACACAGCCCCGTTCATGTGCCCATCTGTATGAACTTTTTGGACAGCTAACCGTACACATGCATGTCCACACTTCACAGAGGACTGCCGAAAGATCCACGGGGCAGTGGGGCGGGAACTGCATTCACCTCTAAGCCACTAACTGCCCAAAAGGCAGATAGATTAAGAGGCCTGGTGGGGGTGGAGAGATGTGCTTTAGAACAGGAGGGGGCCCCTCCCCCGCCATCTCCCCCACCCCCAGGACAGAGCCATCACGGCACCTTTGTCATGCATCTATCTGCTGTCTGCCAAGAAGACAGCCTCCTAGAGGAGGGGGAGGGGGAGGGGCAGGCCCAGGACTTGGCTGAAATCCCCCACACCAGTGCTTCTCAGCTTGCCACGCTCTACGTTCCCAGAAACCTCTCTCCCCATGCCAGTCCCGAGAGCCCCTGCTGCCCATCTTCCCAGCGACTCCTCAAACACCTTCCCATTTCCCCACTAACACCACCCTCTTATTTTTTAGATTACAATTTGCAGTTGCTGTAGGTGGTGTTTCTGGTCTGGGCAAGAGGCCCATTTCCACAGAGAGAACCAGAAGAGGGGCGGGTGCTAGGATCCCTGGTTGGCTTGTGGTGGGACCCCCGCGCTAGGTCAGCCCCGTGCTTACCTGGAGTCCGACCCAGAACCTTAATGACAAGTGAAGTTTGGAGCCCAAGCCAGCCCCTCCTGGGGTTCTCAGGGCTGACCCAGGCTGAGACAAGCTCCCCTCCTCACCCCCACCCTCCTGTTGAGCCTGAAGTCTAGGGGGCTGTCTGCAGGGCAGCCCAAGGTTGTTGGCCTTGAGGAGACTAGAAGTGAGGTTGAGTCACCAGACCTGGCTCGACTTTCCTGGGTCTTATAGACTCACTGAAAAACTTCAAGTCCCAAAGCCAATTTAGAACTGGGCTCACAAACTCTCCACATACACGTTTACTGTAGTGCAATGTCAAGGCCCCTCATAGAGACAGATGGGAATATCTGGTTGCCGGGCATTGCCAGGAGACCGAGGGAGGGCAGGTGAGGGCCGGCACTCCCCAGGTGTGGCTGGCTGGCGTGGCTGCAGAGGGGTCAGGCCGTCCATCCCCTCGCTGGGGCATCGGGGTGTCGTTTGGTTGGGAAAACCAGCGGAAAGGGCTCAGATGGAGACCCGGGGAGATGCTCTACACCACTTATTTTGATTTCTGGGTTCTATTGATCTATAAGCAGAAGAAAGCAAGGAGGGCTGAGGAGAGAAGGGTTCAGGCTTTGCCTCCTCTGGGAGATTTTCTCAATCTCAACATACACATGTTCCACTGCTCCCTGTAAGCCACCAACTCCGCTTCTCACAGCGATCAAGCCTCCCATCTCTCCCCCCAGATCTGCAAACTGAAGTCTTCCTTTGCCCAGTCCAGACACTCTGACTCAGAGGAGCCAGCTCTCCGGTTGTAGTCTGCGGGGAAAGTGGAAGGGTTCAGGAGCAGTAGTCGGGAGTAAACTAAATGTCTGTAGAGCAGGATCCTTGGCCCTGCTCTGACTCCCCAGCCAATGGCCCCTCCCCCATCTGTGCCTCAGTTTCCTCACCTAACAAGGAGGAATTGGACTAAAAGAGCTCTACCTTTCCTTCCAGCCCCAACATAAAATTGCTGCCCCACTCCCATACATCCTTCTATCTACCTGGGTCACGTCCTTGCCATGGGAATATAGATTTCTCTCTGCACACTTGTGAAGAGAAACTGGGGTTGGAGGGATGAGGGAGGAACTCAGTGAGAGGCTGGCACATGCCTTTCTGCCACCCCCCTCCCCCCCCCCAGCAGCCCTCCTGGAAGATCCCAGGTATTCCCACCAAGTCTCATCAAGTCACGTATGAGGATTTTGAGAGGCCAGTTTGGACTTTGTTTTCAGGGCTTGGGAAGTTACAAGAAACACGCTTCAGGAGCTAAAACTCATCATGGAAAACAGAGCTGAGGTGTATGTGTACGTGCATGTGTGTATACTGGGAGGGAGACACCCAGGCCAAAAGCTAGAGAGGAAACACAAATCCGAACCTACTCCCTCCTCTTTTCCTATTCCTTCAGTTGCTCTCTTTATTTTTTATTTTTTTTTAAAGATTTTATTTATTTATTTGACAGAGAGAGAGAGAGACAGCGAGAGAGGGAACACAAGCAGGGGAGTTGGAGAGGGAGAAGCAGACTCCCCGCTGAGCAGGGAGCCGGATGTGGGACTTGATCCCAGGACCCTGGGATCATGATCTGAGGCGAAGACAGACGCTTAACGACTGAGCCACCCAGGCACCCCAGTTGCTCTCTTTAAATCCCTGCCTCAGCATCCTAGAGAGAGGGATGCCAGAAGATCACTCCCAGCTCTACAATTCTGAGCGTCCCTGCTGTCCTGCCCTTCTTCCAGAGAAAGGTGTACTGCAGCGCCCACAATGATCACCGTGGAAGGCAGGAGCCCACAGAAGATCCAGACTGTGTGTATGTTGGAGGGGTGCTTAGAACAAGGAG